CCCCAAATCAATTCCTGTGGCCTCCCCCCCAACAGGCAGTGATGCAATTCTCCAACTCCTGTGTGCAATCATGGGGTCTGGAGTCGGATCGTCAGCCAAGCAGGGGCGTAGCCACACCACGCTCAGCAGGAAAGCAACAGGAGAGGAAAGAAGGGAGGTGGGGAGGCGAAAGAAAAGAAGGAAGAAAGCCAAAGAGAGGAGGAGGGAAACAGTCAGAGGCTGTGGGGGATATAAGCAAAAAAAGTACCCTAATAAAACTTTTACAGTTGTTCACAACTAAACTTCAGGCCAACCAGTGGGGTTTGTTTTTTGTACAAAGTAAGATTCATCAATTAAAAAAAAAAACTCCTCAAAGAATTTGCTGATGATCAAATTGCACAAACATCTCAGCTTCTCCTCCTCTCATCAGCCCACCAACCAGCTGTGTCTGTTTTGCTCGGATCGCTGGATGTGTATTTCGGAAGTGACAGCTCTTTGCTACTCCCACACCAAACGCTGTCATTCCAGCTGACTCACACCAACATTAACATTACAGCAGAATGATATTCATGTAATGTTTGTGGAGGTGGTACAGTTCTTAGATTTACACTGGAAGTTTGAACTTCTTTAAACAACAACTTCCTTTTTTCCAATTCGCCTTGGTGGAACTGTGCAGATAACACGTTAGCACTGTAAGTGTGTGTGCACAAGCAGGTATGCCCCACTTGTGGGGACCAACTGGTACTTATGGGGACCTAAGCCTAGTCCTCATGGGGTGGACATACCGTTAGAGGGTTGGGGGTTAGGTTTAGGACTAAGGTGGGACTTGAGCTTAGGTTAGGTTTAAGGGTAAGGGATCAGTGTTAAACTGTATAAATTAATGGAAGTCAATGCAATGTCCCCATAAAGATAGCTGTACTAGACCATGCGCGTTTGTGTGTGTGTGTGCAATGCAGTGGTATGCTGCATTCTTTCAACTGTGGAGGTGCAACCAAGCAAAGACTAATCTTATCAAAGAAAATGCACTTAAACAATGGTGAACGTGAGATTATTGCACTTTGAGGGGCTTTAAAAGATTATAAAGTGGTTCTTTGAATAAAAAACCTGCACACATGTGCAGGTGTGTTGATATGCAAACACACCATAAACACACAAAACACATTCGACAAAGCTTTTGCCAGATTTGCAGAAGGAGACCTTCCCTATTTGCAGTCTAAACGAGTACAGGGTCAGGCCAGGAATGCAAAGCACAGGCACCTGCCTAATTCTTTAAAGTACCAGGTTTACTCAGTTTACACACAGAAACTGAACGCTTGGAGGCCACTCCCTAAAAATCCATGTAAGATCTGGGCTTTAGGAAAATGGCTTGAGCTCACGTACCCTTTGCTTAAAAGCAGGAACACTATATCAAAAGTTTCCTGGGTTTCTAAGAGATATTTTTTTTTTTTTTGTTTTTTTTTTTTTTTTTTTTTTGGACTTTGGTTGTTTATCTCTGTTTTTTCTGTCCAGTCCTTGCACCTGATCATGATAAAAGAAGAGTCAGACCCAAAATACCATCTGAAGCAGATGAAAAGTTTCTGAAAGTCATAGCTTTCAAATTACTGACACAGAACCTGAAAGATGCATTAACCCTTAGTACACTTGTCAAAATGACATAGTGTAAATGTTGGTCATCTACTGGATCATCTACTCGATCATCTACTAAGATAGTTCCTACATTTGGGGTCAGGACCACACTGTGTGTAAAACATCCTGTAAGCGTATTTAGATGCTCACCAGTACTCAAATTAAATGTGAACAAATTGTTAGTGGAATGTGTTCACCAATCATATATTAAGAAAAATATGAACTGTAAATATATAATGCCTTTCTATCCAACCAGGATAAAGTGCTTTACAATATAATCTGTGTCCTCATTTACCCGGCACTATACTACATGTCTCTACAAAGCTAGTCTAGATACAGCAGATTGAACAAACGTGCTTTAAATTACAATGAGTCACTGATGGGACACCCATCAGAGGCAGTGGGGGTTTCAGTGTCTTGCCCAAGAACACTTGTGACTGAATAGCAGTGGAATTGAACCACCAACTCTCTCACTGGAAGACGACTTCCCTAATCCGTCGGCCACAGCCAGCCGAATCATAGTTAAGGTTGTTAGAACTGGCAATACGTCTTCGTAAAAATGGTTATTAGCGTAATTTGCTAACCATAAGCAGACTTATTTGGTGTCACAAGCCTCAGCAGCTGTTATTTTGTGGGTCTGAAGCTGAAAAATCTGCCACTGATATACCTAGTTTTCAGTTCATAGCTCTTTCAGAACCACTTTGTTGGTGTTAACACCTGAAGAAATATCGATCCAGAACACTTTAAAAGGTTACAGAAAAAAAAAGTCAGGCTCCTTGGAGAAAAAGAATGAAAATGTGAGGGGAGACTCAAGACTTTTGCACAACACTACAACCTGTATTTGACAACCAGTCCTAACTAAAAAAAAGGTCTAAAATCTTTTTCTCCCTTCGCTCTCATACAGATGAATGCAGTTTTTGTAAAATGCTTTATATAAACTGCATAAAAACAGTAAACCTGAACTGTACTTTTTTACTGAAGCAGGATCAATGCAATCCACACCCCCAGCTGCACCTTTAGAGATCAGAATACACACAGTTCATGCAGGCTTTATACCACACGTATATTATTGCAGGATTGCTGGCTGTTGCTGTAGAGTTCAGACTAGTTCAGAGCACTGTGGTACCGCTCCAGCTTTGGGAGGGGTGAGTCTGTCTCAGAGTCATTTCCTGGACGGGGATATTATGGCACCACACGCATGAGAAACAAACCCCTTTCACATTTACACACCAACCCGAGCCACTTTTTATCCTCTACGTGCAAAATCGATAAAGCAAGTGTGCAAAGAGAAAAATCTGGGAAGTGGGTCTTCTTATTCAATAACCAGTGTGTGTGTTTGGGGGGGGGGGGGTGTAATATGATTCCAACAACAACTTTATGCAACACGGACTCTGTGAAACTGGGGGCAAGGTGTTCTGCAGTGTTTTAAGTTTTTGTTTTTTTGTCTTAGATACTGCAGAGGGCTCCTTCCTATCTGTCAAAAATGGGTGACACCAAATCACCAACCATGTGGAAGAACAATAAAAAGGTGAGCATTAGTGGGTTTGTAGAAAGAGAACAATTACCTCACTCAGCATCCCAAACCAAAGCACGCTGAAAAGAGAGAAATACAAACCAGAGGAAAGTTGACTGAGAAATGTGTGTTTTTGCGAGCGGTATGGGGGGGTCACTTAGAACTTCTACTGCTTTTAAATCTGGGTGTGCCCCCCATACCCTCAGCCATACCTCCATTTAGGCCTTGCTGCTTCCCTCTCCTGTGATTACACACATATGCATGTTCGCACAAAGCTTGTGTTGTCTTTTCCTCATGAGGTGGTGCCAACTCCACAGCGAGTCCTGCGTTCCTCCATTCTCACATGGCGCGCCTGTTTTCTCTGGGTAACCCTCAGCTCAGAAAAGACAATGTCATTAAGACAGTCTTCTATCTCTTCTTCTTTCCCCTTTGTCTCCGTCCCCCCCCCACCCCACCCCCACCCACTGTATTTCTGCATTTAGCTCCACCCTGCAGTTTTCATCTTCTGCAGCTCCATCCAACAGAGAGACGAGCAGCGAATGAGAGCAGAGAGGCAGATGCAAACAGACAGATGGAGGACGCCTGAGATGGCAGCAGACATAGTTGAGCTATAATGCTGTATAATATAGCCAGGCTAAACTCTTGATTTAAATTTGTTGACAAGCGCTGTTTGCGCAGTCTGATAGAAACAGGAACGTGAACAACTTAGAGCCAATTTCTGACTGAAATTGGTGAAACTTTGTTCTTATTTTCATTTGACTGAATCTTAAAGGACTCCAAAGTTGTTTTTATAAATTGACATACAGTAAATGTGGAAAGATAATGAACGATTAATACGAGCCCCGCACACGAAGCGTAAGCGCGAGTCATATTTTTTTCGTACTGTTTTTTGTTTTGTTTTGTTTTTTTACAGTGATTTTTGGTCAACCGTAGCACAAAAACGGCTGCACCAATCAACATGAAATTTGGTAGGACTGTAGATGTGTTTGACCTACACTTTACGATACACCCCATATTTGAGGAGGGGTCTCCATCCAAAGAGGGGGTGTCAGGACATGCAAAAATGCTTATAACTCAGAAACTCTTCAACATAGGAGCTTCAGATTTCTTTTGTTGTTTAGCTCTGATTAAGCTCTATCCATCAGGCCTCAACCTTTTACCATAAAGTCTGGCAAAAAAGTTTAAGGTCTAATTTAGTAATAAAAAAAGCAGCAAAAATAAACATGTTTAT